GACGGCGACCCGAGACCTCCCCGGGGAACGCGGAGGCGGCCGCCGACCTCGCTGCCCCCAACCCGGGCTCAGCCAGGCTTGACCGCCCCCTCTGGCGCTGCCTGACCCGGTCCCCAACTGGTGCTCCTGCCAGGACCCTCCCACCCTGGAGTGCTGCCAATGCCCGCTCCAGACTGCACCCCTTGGCGCCCTCTTTCCACCCATGCTCCATCAGTCAATCATTTACGGAGCGCCAGATGTGGTGTCATCCTAGGAAGAGAGATCCGGAGGGGAGGCTGCAGGGAAGCAACGTGCCCCTGAGACCCAGGTGCAGGCCGCCCCTGGCCTGTGCTCATCCAGGGAGATGGGGGTTGGAGGGCAGGCCTAGACCTGCCCCCACTGGGGAAGGTATGCAAGGACAGTGGCACTGGCCCCACAGGTGTGGACTGAGCTGACACTGAGCTGTGAGGAAGCACACTCATTGCACACACACTTGTGCCCACACAACACCCAGTGGGTAACAGACGCGTGCCTTTGAAAGCGCAAACAGCCACCTGCGTGTGTGCTCACACCCTGTGCATGGACAGGATGGGTGCGCAGATGCGGACAGCTTCGCCACACACACCCCCAGGGTGTGAACTAACTCAGCACCCTACATGCTCCTGCAGGAATGGGCTGGGAGTGCAGGAGCTGGGGCTCCCCAGGGTGGTGTCAAGCAAGAGGAAGGAATAGAGCCCTCCAGGAAGCTGGGAGCAGAAGAGTCTCCCATGAAGGGCCTAAGGCTGGTTCCACCCCTCCTCTCCCTGCAGCCTGGACCTGCCCCCGGGTTTGGAGGCAGGGAGGGCGGAGTCCTGGGTGTGGCTGCGGCCCTGGGTGTGGACGTGGGCGCAGGTCCTGTGCAGCCCTCACCCCTCGTGGCACAAGCCATTGAGCACCACAATGGCCCCTCTTGCAGACGACAGGTCAGGGGGATGACCAGAGCTGAGTGGCAGAGTTGGGGCCCCCACACCTACAAACTGCCAGCACGGCTGAGTGTGAGGGAGGACAGATCCAGACCTGAGGGTGGAGGGACGCCCAGGAGCTCACGTGTTCATGTCGAAGTCAGGAGAGCCTGTCCTCGTGCATCTGTACTCCCCCCTCCTGTGACCTCAGTCCTGCTGTGCACATCCGCTCATGTGCAACACCGGCCTCACAGGAAGACCTTGGGGACCCATGCTCCTCACTGGGGGGCGGGGGGGCTGTGCCCTGGAGGGTCAATCCCGACTGTGCTGGTCATGCATCCGCTCTGCATGTTTACCTGTCGTGGGCTGGGCAGACCTGCAAGGCTCAGAACCAACCAGTCCCAACAGGGGCACACGGCTGTGCCGTCCTCAGCCACTGGGCATCGATCGGGCCCCAGGGGGCAGCAGGAGTGGGTGCTGGAGGAGGAGTGGGCTCTGCAGGTGGAAGCTGAAGAGGGGACACCCAGGTGGGGACACGGGGAGCAGAAGCCTAGAGGGAAGCTGGCTGGGTCCAAGGGGCTGACGGGGGCGGCGGCAGAAGTTGCTGGCCAGGCTGAGGGGCGTCCAGACTGTCCAGAGTGACTTTATGTGGTGGACTTCCTGCTGTACGGAGCGCCTTGCGAGCAGCAGTTCACTGACTTACCCACATGCCAGCATTTGGGTTGGTGTGGTCCTCTCAGCCTAGCTGGGCCTCCCGGCTCCCATGGCCACAGGCACCCTCTTTCACAGAGAGGAGGCTCTCCCGTAGGGCCCAGGGTCAGCACCCTGGATTTTTAGCAGGTATTGCCCAGGCTCAGAGCTGAGGGTGGGGCCCAAGGACAGGTGTGGTGCTGTCCTAAGGTCCATGCTGGCGGTGTAGGGCGGCACAGATGCGCCCTGTCCTGCATGAAGAAACAGGTACACCCCCAGTACAGCTGACTGCCAGAGGCCTCCTCCCTCCCACACAGTCCCACCACCAGGCTCACCAGACGGCCAACAGTCACTTTGTCACCACTGATTTCTCAGGGATTTTCAGAAGTGACATGCAAAGGTGAACATGAGTTTCACCGTGTTTCCCACCACAGCTCTGGCCAGGCTGGCTTTCTGAGGTCATATATTTAGCCCAACACCACCTGAGGCCGAGCCCTGGACTCCCAGCTGCAGGACCTGTTCTTCTAAATGCAGGTTGAGTCAGTGACATCCTTGT